TTCCCAGGGGGTTGTGATATACGCCCTTGTTGCATGAACCGCTGCTCACTCTTGAGAGACCCCAAAGCCAAGCTGGTTTGGTTGAAGCATCATGGCTGCCTGTGCACGAATACTTCGGACAGCAGCTTTGGATACGAGGCGGCGTAACGTGTTGCCTACTGCAATTGCCGAATTCCTCCATCCTTCTTTTTAAGTGCACAAAGTGTTGCACCAAAAAAGAAAGGTCTAATTTCATCAGGAATCAGACCAGCCAAGGAATTGTTGACGAACCTTGTGATCTCTGAAAGCAGTGTCTCTGCAATTTCCCCAATAACTGGATTAACCATTTCCTTTAAATGCTGTGGCCTTATTCCAGTGTAACCCCCAGCAGAGCCAGATGGGAACGACATTATTGCTTTGTAAATGTCTGAGTCTTCCACAATCAGTGGTTCCATAGTGGGGACAGAGGTGTTGGAACTGTTGGTGCTACTGGTTTCCCTGGCAGGGTGCTTTCCTCTAAGTGCTTCAGCAGTGTCAGCATCCCTGGAGCAACTGTATCTTCACTGGTAATAATTCGGGTTTTGCCCCCACTGTGTTGCCCTCTTCAATTTTCTTGCTCACCTGGACTCTGACTTTTTCACTGTCAGTAGAGTGAGTGGGGGTTCTGCCTCTCCCTTTTTTGTGTTGACGGGAAGGCGAATGAGGTTATCAACTCTAGGAAAATCTCTTAAGGATTTAATTATCATTGAGGCTAGCCTCTTTCCCCTTCTTTCCGGCACAGCTAAGCGGGACATTGCCAAAAAGTAGCAAGTTGTGCCATGCCTTGATGGTTGGTGGAGCATTTAAGATAGTGGAACCATCGTTTACTTTTTTCAGGAGGTCTGTAAGTTTCCCAGCTGCGTGTGGACGGGCTGCTTTGGGAATATGTTGTGAGTGTCCTCGTATCTGTTGCTTTAATTGCTTCCAAGAGATTGTCTGATGAGATGAAATCTGTTGGAGTGGGTTCAGGTGCCTGAGTGGCTCTGGATCATCACTTTCCACAGGAGGACATCCTGAACCAGGGCAACTACCGTGTTTTGCGGAGGAAACCATTAGAGTTGAGACAACGAAGCTGTAAGCATGACCGACACTTGCCTCTCCTAGTATTGCCAGCCGTGCCATTTCCCTGCTGCTTGCTTCCTCCTGGTTGGCATCCATCGCTATATATATATATTTTATATATATATATTATATATATATATATATATATATATATATATATTTTATATATATATATAAATATATAAACCCTGAGTTTAACATTAAGTGAGACTAGTGGGTTACAGATCGCGTGCTACTACAACTTTGGGTTCACCAGGTTATATTATGCTCACTTCTGACTCATTTCTGTTTATCCCTCTTCAAAACTCCACTACTTACTGATTAACAGTGCCTCTCCTTCCCCTCTCCTAATTCCTCTTTCTATTCTTATTACTCTGATATCCTGCTGGGAATACGGCAACTGTTATCATTTTACTAAGTTTGAACTGTAATATCTATGATGTCTGGAGATATTCCATCTGCATCTACGTACCCTATTCTCATCTGTTTTCTACTATGCTCTGGTTTTTAGTGTCCAGGCTTTCTGTAAGGAGGGAGAAAGGCAAGACTGAGGTTGCTACATGCATTGTTACAGGGTACGGGGTCAGGATTACAGTTATAGATAGGCACGGAGAGTGTGGGGTTGGTGTGTGTGTATTTACCTATATGTGGTTGCAAGGGTCTATTCATAGCTCCTGGCCCCGCCTCTTCACTGGTCGCCACTAGGTCCACCCTCTCTTGGCTTCAAGAGCCTTTTCGTACCTCTTCTTAAATTATGTATAGATCCTGCCTCTACCACTTCACTCTCCAGATTGTTCCACTTCTTGACAACTCTAAGGCTGAAAAAATACTTCCTAATATTCTTGTGACTCATTTGAATTTTCATCTTCCAGCTGTATCCCATATCTCAAACATTCTGCTTCTATTCACTATGTCAATATTTTGTGAATTGTTATCATATCCCCCCCTTCCCTAGTCCTCCTGTCCTCCAGTGTCATCAGGTTAAGGGAACTAGTCTTGTTGCAAACCTTTGCACTTTCTCCAATTTCTTGATATGCTTGACCAGGTGAGGGTTCCATATTGGTGCTACTTAATCCATATGGCCCTGACGTATAAGGTGGATAGTGTCGTGAATGCCTTCTTACTTATATGTTGAAAAGCTGCTCTGAGATTTAGATGACGCGCATTTTCTGTAGCTGATATTTGGTTGATGTGCGCCTTCAAGTGATATGATACTCACCCTAAGGTCCTACTCCTTGAGTGAAGTTTTGCATTCTTTGACCCCCGAGCCTATAATCCGTCTGCGGTCTTCTTTGTCCTTCCCAGTCTTCATAACTTTCCACTTGGTGGGGTTAAAATCCAGGAGCCATTTGTCAGACCAGGCCTGGAGCCTGTCCAGATCCATTTGTAGTCTTGGTCCTCGTCCGCTTGTATTCTCTTCATTAGTTTCACGTTGTCTGCGAACAGGGACTCCTCTGACTATTCCTTCCGCCATGTCACTGACGTATATAAGAAGCAGCACTGGGCCTACGACTGATCCTGTGGAACTCCGCTCGTCACATGCACCCATTCCGACACCTTTTCACGGACCATCATTTTGTTTCCTTCCTAACAGGTATGCCTTGATCCATTGTAGTGCTTTTCCTGTTATTCCTGCCTGTTCTTCTAGTCTCGTGTGCGATACTGTGTCAAAAACCTTCTTACAGTCCAAAAAGATGCAGTCTCCTTCCCCCTCTCTCTCCTGTTTTACTCCTCTTGCCTTGTTTTAGAACTCCAGTAGGTTTGTGACACAGGAATTTTCATCCCTGAAGCCTTGCTGGTTGTCATGTATGAGACCGCTCCTTTCGAGGTGCTCCACCACTCTTCTCCTGAAGATCTTCTCCACGACTTAACATAACTGTAACATGCCAGTGACACTGGTTTGTAGTTCAGTGCTGCCTGCCCGTCTTCTTTCTTAAAAACTGGGACTACAGTTGCTGTCTTCCACGCCTCCAGCAATTGCCCTATGTCAATAGGCTTGCTGAAGAGTGTCGCTAGTGGCACACACACAGTGCCTCTGTTCCATCTCTCAGGACCATGGAGTGATATTGTCTGGGCTCACCGCCTTCGAGGTACCTAGCTCACATATCAGCTTCTTCACCTCCTTCCTGCATGTGTGTGTTGTATACAATGCTTGCTGGTGTGCTGGTAGCCTTCTTGTCTTCTGTAGGAATACCTCCCTAAGTCTCTTCAGAAACTTCCTGGTCATTCCTTGTTAGCTCCCAGCCTTCCTTCTTCAGCCTAATTACCTGGCCCTTGACTGCTCTCTTCCTCTTTATGCAGCTATATAACAATTTTGTGTACTCACCTAGTTGTGGTTGCAGGGGTCGAGTCACATCTCCTGGCCCCTCCTCTTCACTGCTCACTATTAGGTCACTCTTCCTGCTCCACGAGCTTTATCATACCTCTTCTTAAAGCTATGTATGGATCCTGCCTCCACTACTTCACTTCCCAGACTATTCCACTTACTGACAACTCTGTGTCTGAAGAAATACTTTCTAACATCCCTGTGATTCATCTGAGTCTTCGTCTTCCAACTGTGACCCCTTGTTGCTGTGTCCCATCTCTGGAACATCCCGTCTCTATCCACCTTGTCGATCTCTCTCAGTATTTTATGTCGTTATCATATCCCCCCTATCTCCTCTATCCTCCAGTGTCGTCAGGTCGACTTCCTTTAACCTCTCCTCATAGAACATGCCCCTTAGCTCCGGGACTAGTCTTGCTGCAAACCTTAGCACTTTCTCTAATTTCCTTGCGTGCTTGGCTAGGTGTGGGTTCCAAACTGGTGCTGCATA